AAATACAAATCCTCCATATAGAGAAAAATGCCATAAAAACGTCAAGCGATAGTAGATTACCTTTAGATGTCCAAGAATGATCGGAGGGTTTCGAAGAGAGAAGATCGTCGGAAAGATCAAGCTTGCCTTTAGCCATCGGGCCGTCAGGAGAGAGGATCCGTTTACAAAGAGAGGGATGAGAAGGCCGAGAGAGAGTGGAGAGATATTGAATCGAACGAAAACTCGAGAGGGACTCGGTGTTAGGGTTTCGAAATCGAAAAGCTTCGATAGACACTGGCAGAGAGCGAGATAGAGCGAAGGGAGAGATGGAGCGAGGGTTTGTAGTGGGAGGATAAAAATGGAACAACTTACATCTGAACCATTTAGGAGCACCTTAAACACATAATCGTTAAAAGGATATTGTCACATTAAGAGGTTGTTATTTTTTTGCCAAACAACTTCTGCCTCTTACCGATTAAGAGGCTCCCTTTTAATGTCACCATTAAGAGGGAAACAAACAGCCCCTAAGTGTTGTTATCTGTTCAAAATCCATGATCCCGATTGAGGGTAATTGACGGATGTTGTAAAGAATAGAATGTTTGATGTAATTCTAAACTACGACAATTGATTGAGTTTGTACACACCACAAAGTCGATTGGTGTAATTTACTAGGTTAATATTAAATAGTAAACCATGATTTTTGTTCGGTTATATTAATACTTGATTGGTTGAATTTGTCCATGTGGTTTGTTAAAATTTACGAATTTTTTTGTTCTTGAGCTCTTTTTAATTAACTATTTGTGTTTTTATTGTTGTTTTTGTCCTTAAGGTTAACTCCATCATAATAAGTGGTTTACTATTAACTCTAAGGACAAAAACAACAATGATTACTTAACCACAAATATAAAATTATAAACCATATGGACGAAAACAATAATGAGAGAAAAACCAAAATTTAAAAACAAACAAAAACATGGGTTTCCTACTTGTGAATCTTTAACAATATTAAGTGGGTGTTTGATATTGCTTATTTTAGGTGTTTTTTGACTTATTTTATTTTAGCATTAGTGATAAGCTAAATGCTAGTGTTTAGATGAAGAAAAATAAAACTGCTTATACCGGTGACAAACCGGTAATAAGCAGTTTTTGATAAGTTAATCCTTCCTTATTTAGGAAAAACTGTTTATTACCAGTTTACCATTTTAGCCATGTTTTATTAATATCTGTTAATTATTAATCTTATTGATATAAATTTTTTGTCAAATATATTATTATAAATGATGAAAAATAAATTTTTACATGTTAAAAATCAAATAAGTTAATAAGCAATCTCAAACACTCATAAGTCAATAATATGGAAGATTGTCATTTTTGGTCATTTTACATATATAAGCAAAATTTACCAAACACTAAAAAATAACTAATCCAAACATTTTTTACAAACTCGGGTCTGATACCACATAAGTTAATAAACACTTTTACAGAAAAGTAGAAGTTGTTTTAAATAAACAAAACCAAACTTTCTACTTCTACTTCGATTTCATGAGTGGATTAGGAAGTGAGGTGAGGTTGATGTTGAAGTAGTAGTTGGTTGGGGGAGGTTGCAAGTGAGGTAGGTGCTTGGATTGCTGCAGGTGTTGGGAGGTTGGAGGTTAGGTAAGGAACTGGTAAGGTTCGGTTATAGGACCGAAATCTGGGACCGGTTATGGATTTAGGGTGTTTCGTGGGACCGGGACCGGTTATGGATTTAGGGTGTTTCGTGGGACTGGGACCGGTTATGGACCAGCCTGGCCCGACCCGATTTTTCAAAAATGTAGCTGTTATTTTTCTACAAAACTAGCCGTCTTTTGGCCCTTTTTTTGTATTTTTTGCTTTCTAAACACTATATATAAGTGTCTTGGTTGAGCGATTTACATATCAAGTTCTCGATTCGCAAAAGACGCAAAAGAACGTTCACCATTATCGGTTTCTCGTTATATTTTGTAAGACAATGTAATTTTAATTATAATGAAATGCATTTTTAAAGTGTATTTGAGTGACCCAATTATAAATTTTATAATGTATTAAAAATATATATCATTAAAAAAATATTTTTTAATGACCGGGACCGACAGCCAGTAATCGGTTACAATAAAGCTTGACCGGACTCAACTTTTTTGACCGGGACCGGTTATGGCCGGTTATGAGAAATCTTGGGACCGGCCCGGGACCGATTTTTGGCCATCACTAGTCTCTTGTCACAAATTTTCCAACAATCACATGAATACACGTTAGAGAATGTGAACTTGATTAAAATAAAGTTAAAATTTATAAAAATATGATGTGTCTTAGTTTCATCTGTGGGACAGAGATAAGGTGTGTGGTTTAGGAATATCAAAATTTTAGTATCAACCGGTTGGGTTATGTATTACTAGAAGGATACTCGTGCAATGCAGCGAGATGCATCTTGATTTTAATGTTTTATTTTATTATTTGTATCTGTCGATGTTATAATACGATTTTATGTGTTTTTAATAAAGCAATAATGATTTTATTTTTGAATAAAATATAAATTTGAAAATATCATAAAAATTTGAAAAAAAAATATATCAATGTTAATACCAAATCAACTATTTAAAAGTTCTCATTTTTTATGTAATTTATTTAATTTATTTTTTTATTGTAATTTAATTTAAGTTTAATAACGAAATAATTTATTTTTGGTTTAATAATATAACATTTTATAAAGATAATAATTAAGTATTCTGTTAGAACTTAATGATTATCCTAATTATATTTTAAATTTTTTATATTTAAAACGAGATGTTTATCCTATATTTGATTATGTTTATTTGCAGTTAGTTACACGAATTTAGATATGAAGCTTTAATAAGTTATACTTACGCACAATCTACTTGTAATCTTGAGTTTTTTTTAATAAATATTTTATGGCTTGCAAACATGTTTGTTAAAGAATGGCAATACTTAGCTTAAGACCCTATCAAAGTTTACCAAAAGACTTTGAAATGTCATCTAATCGTAAATAATTAAAGGAATCATTCAACTTTTAGTTCAATATAAATTATACCCCAATTTAAACTAAAACATCATTTACCATTAAATTTAATTTTTAAATAATACTTGGATTGTGACAGTATTAAATATTCCCTCCATTTCAATCAAGGTGTTGCCGACGTCCTTATGGTCATGCAAGTTTACCTGTGGTGACTCCAAACTGTTTGTGATCGTTTGAGGAATGAGTCAGTGCACGTAAACTGACTCAAATATCTATGATGGTTACCAAGAAAATCATATCTTGCATTAAATGATGTTTACCGTTCAGTTTAATATTAAAACATTCAAAAGATCCAAAATGTTATAAAATACATATCATAAGGATAAAATCTGTAATTATTTCATTTTAAGGATATATATATATATATATATATATATATAGTTTGTTTCAAATGCAACCCATCATTCTGTGTAGACCACATGGTCCAAGAATGTAAAATCCTTCATCTCTAATGTTAATGGATGTTAAGACCATCATTTAAGTGTCTCTCGGATGGATGCTGGTCACGTGAGAGCATTTTCGTCTTTTTATCTTTTTCCGATCTTTCTTCATCCTTACTCCTCTCACCTCCTTCCTTTTCCATGTTCACAACAAGATTCAAAAGCAGATACGAACATGCGAAAACATAAATTGATTCAATAACATTGTTCCCTACCCACCTCATTCTTCCCTTTTCCTAGCCATGATCAAAACACAGCAAGATTCAAAATCAGATGCATAAAATTCTTAACGACATGAAGATTCAAGAATGCTTATCAATCAAAACTCTAAAACTAAAACACTTAATTTAAAACCCTAAAATAAAAACACTAAATTTGAATACCCGTAATTCAAGAACATATTTTCTTTCAAAACTATAAGTACTGGTATTGATAAAAAAGTTGATTACAGTGTTGACTTCTTAGCAAAACTCAATTCAAAAAATCTTTAACAAAAGCCCCCAAAATTACTTCATAAATTTCCGAAATATCTAGAAGAAGAAGCGTAACACAAAATTCATACCAAAAAAATCACTCCCAACCGGGTAAATAATAACCAGTTCCTTGTTATGCGTCGCTTCCATGTCCTTAATGTGCTCGGTTTGTACATAGCATTATATACTTGTATATTAAAATATATATATAAGAAAGATAAAAATATCATAAAAAATTATCATGACTAGCACATGAGAGACGCTTAACAGATTGTTCGAATTTTCATCAGGGTTAGGGACGATCGGTGTAAGCAAATGAAAACAAGTGTTGTGACTTTGAAACTCGAATAAAAATTCCAGAGTTTTAGTAAACAACGTGGACAATTTATATAATGTACTCATATTTTAAAAATATGTTATCAAGAGTCACATTCATACGAGAACAATACCCAAATTAGAGAATACGAAAACGGCTGAATCACTTGTGGTTTTACACTAAATTCATGTGTAAAATCACATGTGATTCATGTGACTTTGGTCATAAACTGAGATTGCGGGCCAGGTTGTCCGTTCACCCTTGCATTGAACGTGCTTCGTAACATGATGTAAAATCACATGTGTTTCATAGATGATTTGACCGTTTTCTTGTTATCTCATTTAGACCATGTGCTCTCCATCCTCATGTCATCAAAAATGCAAATGATCATCTTTAAATTTGTCATCATTTGCACTGAAATCCTACATAGGAAAAGCACAAAATTTGTCATCAAAAAATGCAAATAATCACCTTTATGCTTGATATAGAGAGGACGACGATAGAAATCGAAGAACAAGTCAAACGGGAGGAAAAGCACAAACAGAAACTCCCGCGACCTAAGTCGTCGCATGCACATCAGTGGAGATGGAAATAGTGGTTCCCACAGGTAACCACGCGGCTAAACCCGCATAACTCCCTCTTCAACCGGCAATTCCAATGGCTTTCCATGCGGCTAAAACCGCATGGCAAGACGAATCCAGTTTCGTTTTTCAGCATCAATATTTCCTTTGCTTTTTACTTTCTTAATAATGATCTTAACTATGTTATCAGTTAGTTTCCTAATTAGCTTATGATTAGGATATTTTCCACAATTATCATTTTAGACTAATCTATAAACAGAGTTATTGTTTTCCTTAGTAATCAGATTATCAATTAATACAGTTCTTCTTTGTAAGAGTAATTCTCGGTCACTAAAGAATTCAGATGCTTGACGATCCTTCCGCACTTTCTACTGCGTCAATACCCTCTCAGATTGTAACATATATAGTTTTTGCTATGTTTTGTCCTTCTTAAAAGATATTTTAAGTATATATGTCAATAAATAAAAGAAGTAAAAGTTTGTGGACTAAATTGTAATTTTACTTAAATACATTCCACCATTGCTTTTACTTTGGATTGTTTGGTAGTTGTTGAATGTCTTGGTGTAGAATAATTAAATGGTTAGAATGATTAAAAGACTCTTATAATATAATGCAAAATAAAATATAATTATTCGGTAATTATTTACAATAAAATTATAAAGCTTAATAGTTAAAGGAGGTGCATAATACAAAATCAGATGTTTACATTAAGATTCACCTGTTGACGAAACCGTCCTTTCATCGTTAGTGACGGCTGGATGATTTATAAGGTACGGAATATTGGAAGCAAAGTTGCCATTTGAAATTCGATCCAAACCCCTTTTTTGTTCATAAAGCCAAAACCCAAGGATTTGTTCATTTATTCGATCGTGAGTATAACGCAATTCAGATAACCTAAAGATTTGAATCCCCCTGTGTTTCTTTTTCATAGATCACAACATAGGCATCATCAAGAAATTTGTTCATTGAAACCCTAATTTTGATTTGTCCGTTTTAGATTCGGTTGATAAAGGGAGAGGGAAGAGGATGAAGATCACAGCTTTACTAGTGTTGAAGTGTGATTCGAGATCCGACGGGTCGGATCCCGTGATACTAGCAAACGCTACGGATGTGAATCATTTTGGGTACTTCCAGAGGGTCACCGTCAGGCAGTTCATCGTCTTTGTTGGTCGGACTGTCGCCAAACGGACTCCTCCTGATCAACGCCACTCCGTTCAACATGAAGGTTCTTTATATTTGTCTTTCCTTCATGTTTATTTGATTTCAGAATTTTCAATTTTCCATCTGCTTGAAAAATACCGCCACCAGTTTGTGTATCATATATTGGGTTTTGCTTGATGCTTCTAGATGTGGTTTCAGTTTTAATTTTGGATGAAAGTGCTTGTGACAGTTTGAATTGCATAGTTGTGTCGATTATCAGTTAGCGCTGGCCTTTGGATTGGTATTAAGTTCATTTTACACAAAAAGATAAAGTTGAATTTTAGATTGTAAACAATTATGATCATCGAGTAAGTTCCAAGAAGTGGTGGATTGCTTTATGGACAACTGCAAAGGGGTGGCTTTTGTTTGAAGAAAAGATTGACTAGCTCGAATGCAAGGAACAATTTCTTAAATATGTTTGTTAGATCGTAATAGTAAATTGGTTTGTATTTAGATAAGTTTGTTTTCTCTTATCTAATTGCATTTGTTTATTTTGTGACAGAGTATAAGGTGCATTCATATAACAGAAATGGTCTATGTGTGGTGGGCTTCATGGATGATCACTACCCTGTTAGAAGTGCATTCTCTGTACTGAACAAGGTATGCACATATTACTTTCATCTTTTTTACTCGTCTTAACGGTTAAAATTGAATGGTATTTGAGAAGAATGCAGTGTCTGCAATTCTTCTGGTTGAATGAGATATGAAACCAGAATTATGTGATGAATTGTTTTTGTAGTCCAAGACTCTAGAGGATATTTCCTGATCAAGTTCAGGATATTACAGTAGTTGATTGAAATTGCAAGTGCCATGCAAACAAGATCATCAAATGTTTTATAGGATGTCTATCAAAAGTTGGAACATATGGGTGGAAGGTTTCTTGATGATTTCTGTAGACTATTATGTAATTCGAGTAATGAAGAAAATGCACAACTGCTAAGTTGCATTTCAAGTTAGGTATCAAGATCAGAGCGATAAAAATTTACAAGTTAAGGAGCGTAGTTTTAAAGCTTCTATAGTCTTTACATGTAACAGTTGGTAAATGCGACCATTATATTGCTTTTCTCTGGAACTGATAAATAATATAAGTAAATCTTGATCAGGTGATAGATGAGTATCAAAAGTGTTTTGGTGAAACGTGGAGGAACATACAAGCAGATAGCACTCAACCATGGCCCTATCTTAATGAAGCTCTAACCAAGTTTCAGGTACATTTTGAGTTCTCTTTAATCTATGCGCTACACAGAATTCGACCCTTGATTTCTAGTTTAAGCTTCACAGTTGCACAGTGAGTATGTTCTGAACTTCTGATCACTTATCATAATTGTTTTTCCATCTGTTCAGGATCCTGGGGAGGCAGATAATCTGTTGAAAATTCAGAGGGAATTAGATGAAACCAAAATTATTCTTGTAAGAATTCCTATTATATGTTTCTTCTTTCACATGTTCCATATTCCAAATTATTCTTGAAACTGGCCTAAAAAGGCTAAACGGCATGCATGCTCATATAGTATTGTCTAACAGCATCTAAAGTAGAACCTCTGATTCCTTCTCTGATGATGGTTCCGTGTTCTTATCACATTCATATATTTGTGTCAAAAACCTGTTTATTCTTGGGAAATTAAAATGTTGCTCATTGTCATATTTTAGTAGGTTCAGTACCTTCATCTTTTATATAATTGAGAAACTAGTTTTACATGTGAGCTATTGTTATTTATATTTGCAATGTGGTTTTGACTGTCACAGCATAAAACCATTGATAGTGTCCTTGAAAGGGGGGAAAAGCTGGACAGTTTAGTTGAGAAGAGTTCAGATCTCAGTGCAGCTTCACAGGTAGATGTTTTAACAATTGAAAATCTTCATGATGTTTGATCCTTATTTATTTCTCTATGATGCTACATTAGTATTCTATATTGAGAAGTGAGAAGGCATATATTTGCTGTCGTTTTTGACTACTTGCAATCTTGCCATTACGGTTTTACTTTTGAGTGATTTAATTGCAATATTTGCTGATGACTTGCAAATTTTCCTTTTTCCATAAGATGTATTTAAGATCAGTGTTCATGTGGCATTTTTCACATTTAGGATTTAAAATAAAAGAAAACCAAACCAATCCAATATGTTTCACTGAATATAGGGCCTGTCCTCCACTGGAAAGGGTAGAACGGTTGTTTCATGAAGGTTTTAAAAGAAGTCGTGTTTATCTATAAATAGGACTTTTTGTGGTAGGCATCCACAACAGGCACAATGTTAGACATATAAGGATGTGGAACGCTCTAGAACCATGTGGTGGAACAGGAAAAGAGGTTATGTAAGGGTGTTAAATGATCAAATAGTTAAAGGGGAACTTCACATTAGGCACAATGTCGGCGTTGAACACTCTGGAACCGTGTGGTGGAACAAGACAAGAGGTAATGTAAAACATGTTTAAAGGTCAACTGGTAGCAAGTTAAGGAGAAACTAGACAAAGTGTTGATGCAAAGTGTAAGGTCCGGAGAAACACTTTGGAATCTTAAGGTTGTTTATTAAGGCCATGTTTGGAAACTATAAACTAGCTTATTTTTTGAGTTTATAAAAAACCGCTGTTTGGTAAGCTAGTTTTCTGAAAACCTACTTCAGATAACTTTTCAACAAGCTCTGGGCACTATTTTTTCACTTCTTTACGATTCTTCCCCTCATCTTAGAATCGAGTATTTTTCAACATGTCCTTTTAGATCATTTTACGTTGTCATCTACCTTATATATTACTCCCTCCGTCCCAAAGTAAATGTCTACAATGAAAAAAGTACAGTTTTAGAAATGTGTAATTATTACACTTTTTAGTAAACTAAAAATGACAAATTTACCCTAAATAATAGAGGGACTAATGAATTTCTTCATTTCATGATTAACGGTAAGTAGACATTTACTTTTGAAGGTGGACAATTGTTTTGGGGTAAACTAAAATAGAAATGTGGACAGGATGGAGGGAGTAGCTAGTTTTATGAAACATGATCGCTTTTTTAGCCATCTTTTATGCCAATAGCTTATCAACTTACATAGCCCAAGCTGAAACAAAGTGTAGTGTACCAAGTACAACTTTAACATTGCTGATTGGGTGGAAGATGCAACAAGTATTGCTGGACAAGCAGTAGTTCAGAAGGTTATCTTTCTAATTGGAATACGCCTTGTAGTTATAAGATGGTAACATTGTGGTTGAAATAAATACCTGGGGGGGTCTTGTGATCAGACATGTTAAACATTCATTCCACTCGGTTATCGTTTAGTTCAAAGAACGTTGAAAACCAAATAAACCGACCAAATAACATCCCTAGCTGTGAGCCCTAATGAAGAAAATGGGGTCTCTGCAAGATTATGATAGATATATTTAGATATGTAACCTTAAGTGATATATTCAATTCAATCCATGACCTTGCTGGTGATTTTAGTGTCGTCAGTCATTTTGGTGTGATTGTGATTTACTTGGGATCGATTACAATGACAAGGCAAACATAAGTGAGTTAGGAGGTGCGGAGTGCACACTCACAAATGTTGCTCCTATCACCTTAGATCGCCATAAGACGGGGGTCAAGCGGGCTATGCCCTTGGATTTCTAAAGAGCCGAACTTAGTGAAAATCTCACTAAGTATAAGTGTAGGTAATGTAATCAGAAATCTGATCCTTCTGATCAGGGTATCTATGAAAAGTTCCAAGTGTAAGTCTGGAAGAAGTTGAAGCCTGGAACTCCAGGCTATGCATCCAAGCTTGGGGTTTTTTTACGTTGAGACTTATGATCTGGAAAATTGACCAACTCTGAAACTCTGGACCATATGAGTCAGAGATCTGATGCCTGCATCCAGAGTTAAGATCAGTACACCTAGACTTTGGACTTCAGAGTAAGAGTTTGGGTACTTGGAAAGAGTTTGGTCCTGGAACTTTGATTCGTTTGTATCTGCTCTCTAATCTTATCCAGGAACGGTTATAACCATTTAACCACCCATAACTGTCGATCTTGTATAAATATGTAAATGAGAATCTGGGGGATATATATCTCGATTTCACAGCCTTTAAATGAGAGATTCTCTAGGATTATCCCAATACTAAATTCGTGAACCCAAGGCTATAAGGGACGAATTATTGTATTCGGAAAGTGTGCTCCACACAGTCATAAGAGTTTATCTGGTCCTCTAATCATCTCCAAATCCCAATTCTGAACACTTGTGATGAGTATGAAGCCATTTTTTTTGTAATAGGTCAGGTCATAAATTTAATTAAAATATCATTTGAGGTTATATACCTAAGGCGAAGGATCGTGTGAGAAAAATAGTTACGGTGAGAAGTGTAAGAAGATATCTGAACCCTTGATCACTTTTAATCTCATGCCCGCTCATGAATTGCGCTTTAGAAAGGAATTGATCTGGTGCTTCTTGATACACCTCATTAGTGTTGACATTCAATTAAGATTGACTTATGTTTCTCACCGGAACCAACCCATATATCTAAAAGACCCGTTTGGACATGTTTTTAGCATCTTTTTTTTGCTGTTTTTTCTTTTTTAACGTTTTGATTACTAAATAACAAGATTTTGTTTGGTTAATTGTTGACAGATGTTTTACAAGCAGGCAAAAAAGACGAATCAATGCTGCACGATATTATGAGATGTTATTATAATACCTTCCACATGGTTTGAATTGAAGTAAGATTGTTGGGTTTCATGTGTTTGAATCATGTATCATAATACTCGTGTTCCTGTTATTTGCAACACTATATTACACACTCCACGCATCTTTACTATATCATATTAAAGGGTTGTTTGTTTACCTCTTAATAGTTCCATTAAGAGACAATCTCTGAATCGTTAAGAGGTGAATCTTGTTTGGCAAAAAAAAAGTCTGCCTCTTAAAGTATCTAAAACCCTCTGAATGATTTTGTATCTTAAATCTCCCTTAATCATTAAGAGCCCTAATTTCATTGTATACAATTACCAAGCAATTATATTTCATTTTGCATTATATCATGCAAGCTACTTAATCATACTGCATCAAATCATTCAACAATTGTCAAACAGTCCCTCATGCATTAGAAGGTGTAGAATGTATTGAGAATTTTTATCACATATCTTTGGTGGATCTTGTTTCAAATGGATCTGATATATTCACTATGTATTTGTTGAGAAAACCCAATAATCAGCTACAAGCAGCAAAAGAGAAGGCACATTGTATTTGATTGAGTATAGCCTTTGTCACTTTGGATTGGTGTAGCGGTATTCGGTAACCCAACTGTATTAGAGGTCAATATTTGTTGTGTATATAAATATTATATACTTCAAAAAAACACTTAAGTTATTTCTTCTAATATGCATTTTTCTTGAGTCTCTATGAAGTCTTTTTTTTTTTCTCACAACGGGTATGTGAGCCAATTGTGTAAAAAAGGGCGGACCTATGAAGGTCTCGAGCATCCGTTTATAATTTATTATTATTATGAAAGATGTACATGCCAATCTTACAGTGGTGCTCTAGAATATTTAGGAATGGCAACAGGTCGGGTTCGGGTTGGGTATTGGTATCCCCGTCCCTAAACCGATAGCTAAAACCGTCCCCGTAACCGTCCTGATCCCCCGTCAGGGATCTTATCAGGGATCCCCATCGAGTCCTTACGGTTTTCCCGATCCCCAACGGGAATCCGTTAAGGGTAAAAAATTTCTTTTTTCACCGTTGGTTATAACCGAACCCAAAACCAATCTGGAAAAAATTACAATATGTTAATTTTCACAATTAAAAGTAAACTACAATTTTTTTAAAGATGTAAGTTTGAATGTCTCAAACATAATTGAACCAATTACAAACAATGTATTAGATTACAATATAAAAATAAACAGAAATTCAAACATCATACAACTAAAATCACGATTTTAGACAAATAAACTAAAACTTTTCATGAGCTTTATTGGATTGCTGGGGTAAAGTGGATAAAAATCTTTTAAAATTTAATGTTACTATTAGACATGGGAATGGGGGCGGGGACCTCAATCCCCGTCCCCGTCCCCATCCCCGCCGGGGAATATAATCGCATCCCCATTCCCAACGGGAAAACGATGATTTTTTTTCCTGTTTATATAATTTGTTTTAAATTAGATATGTGAGAGACCATACATGTATAAATCTCAAACATTTTCAATAAATCTAAAACCAAAATGAATTTAATTTAATACAAAAAAATCACAACATCATAAACGAACTAATAACCTAAAACAAAAAAAAAAATTAATTTAATAAAAAAAACTTAAATTCACATGTACCAAATTAGCGGGGAATCCCCGTCCCCATCCCCGATTTAGCAAGAAATCCCTGTCCCCGACGGGTCGGGGCCCATTCCCATGCCTAGTTACTATTATATATATATATATATATATATATATATATATATATATATAGGG